ATATTAAATTCTAGAATTTCATCATGGAAATGTTATTGAGAACTAAAATTATAGCCAGAAGAAAGGAAGACAGGCTTTGGCAAATCAACAAACAGAAAAAATTTGACAGTCCGAAGAATTCCTAGTTAAAGCAGCAGACTTAAGTAAGTTCTAAGTAAAACAAAAGCATATAAGTTTGAAAATATCGGAGTATAATGAATCGTGTACTTAAAGTTAAAAATCTGTGAAAAAGCAAAATATATGAATATTTCATTTCTCTTATAAAGACAGAAATAGAAAATCTTGAAACTATCCCGCATTTTTTTAATATATCATCAGCCATTATTTAAGCTCACTGTCTGTCTGGTGAATTCCGAAAGAAAAGAATAAAATGTATGATCTCTCAGTATTTGGGCTGTCACGTAACTAATTAAATGTGTTTCCATTTAACTAACGGGCATATTGGTTTCAAATATTAAATCATTCACAACGAATACTCTTGTACATCATGAAGGAGTTTTAAGCTATCCATTGTTAAAAAATTATATGCATAAAATTCGCCTAGACATAGGTTCTCATAGTAACGATGAAAAATAAAAACGATGGGATTGTATGCAATGCATAATGAAATAAAACATTTCTATGAATGCAATAATTCGAAACTGGTTTGTTGTTGCACCTACATCAACTGAATGTAAAAGAATCAAAATATTTATAAAACATCTATAAATATTACAAAATTTGCTCAAAATATCTATACGTACAGCTACTCCTAAAGAAGCATGAACATGAATATTTTATGTGTAACTGCACAATTCTGAGCTTCTGATATTGTGTATGATATGTGTATGACATGAAATACGAAATAATTGATATTTTTTGCTTGTACTCAAATAATTCAAGAGTCATGAAGTTTCAAATAAGATTTTAGTTCGATCTAATCACACTAATAATGCCAGTAAGCACAATCTCAAAATTACAATTTTCACAGTTTTATATAACATCACATGAAATGTGTATGCAAGCATCTACCATGCGACATGAAATTCTACAATAAGAACAGACGTTTTCCATTGAAACTGATCATTATCTTCAAAGTACATCTTGAAGCACATAGCTTAAAAACACTGGTAGAAATTTATTGGAATGTAATTCTTATTATATCAAACAACAGTACATGCAATATTTATTATACCCCTTTTACAAGATGGCAGACATTTGTAATGTATTGGCTGTAAGCTTTGAATCTAAACATAGCGATAAGCTTACGCACACTCTACAAGTGCTCAAAATAAAAATAAATATTTCTCTTTCTTTTTCTTTTTCTAAACTATATAAATGAAATGAAATTTTAAATCAGAGGTCACATTTGCAACAAAAATATGTTGATGAGAAACAAGTTATGTCAATTGATACAAATGATTTCATGCAATATGGTTACACTGTTGCAGGTTTTCAGATTGCTTTCTGTTATTTCCTGCTCGTGTCTAGACACATGTATTCATTTATTGATATCAATAAATTATATGCATATACATTTTACATAAATTATATACAATTACATTTTATTCCAAAGCAATTATGTAATTTTCACAATCAACAGCATGTAATTCTCAGCATCATCTGGCATACAGAATAACAGAAAATTATTACATTTATTAACCTTTTCAGCGGTAAATGTAAACTATACATAAAGGTGTAACAAACAAGTAAAGGAACACAATCGTTCCGATTTGTATTTATCAAAACGTTTCTTTTTATTAGGAAATTTGAAGTTTTATGAAATTTATTAATTCCTCAAACTGATTTCGTTTTTATCTAACATTTTAAGTGAAAGAAAAATCATCAATTTTCTAATAGGCTTACGAAGGTTTTATGCTGAACAATTTCAGATGCTTGCTGGTGCTGGAATGGACTTATTTAACAATTCAAAACATTTTTTAAGATTATAAATTAGTTTAAATCTGAAAGTTTTTTAGATGACCCATTTATTATTTTTGAAAGTAAATTGATATTTTGATGTATGCTGGAAGGCTGAAGGATTTGGCACCTTATGAGGAAGGAAATGTTTAAAAAAGATTTACCGTTCCACTGGCCCTGATTTCGATTCCATATGGAACTCTCGTGCTTTACTATCTAAAGAAATTTATTAGTTACCTGAAAGCAACAGGCCTTAATCTCACTGTAAGATGTTAGAAGAAAAAGTGCTAGCTCAGGAACAAAACAAACTTTTTAAAAATAAGATTAAACTTGTCTGAAATTTTATTTAAGATCCTTTTGTTCATCTTCATTAGAATTATAAGCCATGGGTTAAAAAGAAAGAAAACTCACTGAAATATCTGGCATTCTGGACAGAAGAAGAATGAACAGCTTACACGGTCCTAATTTTGTTTCAACTGTAAGACCTTGTGTCATAGTCCAGAACATACTATTTCTGTTTCTTCTCAACTACGTCATTTGTCTAAAGGATATTTGGTGTGCAGAAGGAAGAAGACTTTTTAACAACTTCTGCTTAGCATTGTCATATAAATCAAGAGGAATTACATAGGTTGAATAGAATAAAATATGAGAAATACTGAAGATGTATTTGTGGGAGATCTAAAAAGGATAGCTCTACGCCCGGAATAGAACTTGAATACGTTAAACATCGTTTGCGTTTTAAGTATGTGTGTTAGAAGGGACATCGAGAAATATTAGAAACTCATGTCGTAAAAAGGAGACATTTCCAGATACTTCAAATTTCTATTATATATAGAACAAATTTCCTCAGGGTAGAAAGTAATACCGTATTTATTCCATAAAGACACATTTTTTTCTCTTCATATAAAAATCGCTAAAAATTCATAAAAAATAATTTATATAAAAATGCTTTTAGATTCGCAAATTTTACCAAATTTCTAGTTAATCAGAAGTAATTAATTTTCCAGAACTGCTAAGCTGAACAGATATACTTTTGCTGCTAATAAATCGAAGTCGATTACTGAAAGGCTTCTACTTAGATGTGTATTTTAGCTTTTTATTTCCTTTCTTTTATCAGAATTAAAAGCTTCTTTATTACTGCTGTTCTTGAAATCAAGGGTTATGTTCGAGAATCAGAGACATGTTACGTGATTTTAACTAAATACGGATTGATATCACATACATTTTATTATAAAATACATAAAATTGACTCTTGGTAACAGAAAGGTAAAGTGGAATTTAAGTTTATTTATTATATCTTAAATTTCTTTTAAACGGAATTGGTTCAAAATGAAGAAATCTTTGGAAATATTTTAATGAGCTAGCAGTTATGAAGTACATATTTTTTAATTTGAGAAAATCTTTTGTTATTGTATGTTTTCTTTACACCATCAAACACACATGTTTGTCTAAGCGTTTCCTATTTTTGCAAACTAATTAGACATTTTTCGTTTTCTACTTCTGGCATATTACTGATACATTATTTCATCTTGTGAATTGTCATTTCTCTATTCTATATGTTATAACTATAGTCTATAACTGATAAAAAGTGTCAAGCCTTCTGTACTATTTTTTTCATCATAATATCTCTCGTTTAGGAATCCAAAACATTTAACATCATAAGGAAAGATAATACGGTCAGATTAACATTGTAAACATTACCAGTATCATGAGTTGCACATTTATGAACTGGGAGGTCCTTCCTCTTGAATATTTGAGGTTCTCTAATTTTAAAACACAGATGTTCATGTTCCATGGAATGGAGACCCCGCTTGATTGCTACTTGCGAGTCCCGTAAATCCACTTTTGGGTAATACTGAACGAGCTCACGGTAATATTAGATGCATGAAATTTTGAGAGAAATGGCTTTAAATTTATCACGAATTCAGCAACAATTGCTTCAGAAACAGAGGCTTATTCACCACAAAACTGATAATAAACGATGTAATTGCCATCTTTTAGTCTGATAATTTATCCTATTCTTGAAGTCAGAATGTCCATCCGAAGAAGATCTCGCATTCTATTCGAGAGGAATTCTACTGATGATCAAAATTCAAACCCTAGTTTTTCTTTCAGCCACGAAAGCAGACCTTTTCAGCATCTTAATATATCTAGATAAGAAATCTTTTCCAGTTCTACTTCATGAAGCAAGGATTTTCTACCGCGTACCTAAAATTAAACTCTTGTTCTCGTGAATTCTTAGACATTAGAAAAAACTATTTAATTCATCGTTTGAAATAGATATTTAAATTTGTCAGGTGATAAAATATAGAAAACTCATACAAATATATTTTGGCTGACAGTTTTTCTATATACGAAACTTTATTCGCCCTTCCGCTCTTATAAACATAAAATGTTCAAACATTTTACATTAATTCAATTGGAGTTTTATTTTCATCAAAATAAACTAAAATTTCTTACATCCAGAAGGGAAGTCGAATGTATCTGCATAATATCTCCATGATTAATAAATCTCCTATCATAAAATAAAGATGTTTTGCTTCACACGAAATTACTCACTGTCGAAAATCCTCCTTTTGTCATTTCTCAAAAAATTGAAAAGAATCATACAGTTTTAAAGTATATAATATAATTTTCAAATAATAATTCTGATTTTATTTTTTATTTAATATGTTTTGAATTTTCGTCTAAAATATCTGATTGATTTATTTTAACATTTCTGATTCAAAGATTCACATGTTTTTTTTTTCTTTCTTACTTACTACTGCTGGAATTAAACGTGCTTGAACTATAAATTAGATAACTTATAAGGTACTTCTCCCGCTTTCCTAGCGTGCCTTCCTGGTGTAGTGGTTCTGCACGCTGGGCCGGTATTCCAGAAGATCGAGGTTCGATTCCCGGCGAAGGCGTTGCTAATTTTTCATCTCTCCGGCCTCCAAAAAATATCTAATGTCTTTACAGTGGCGCCCGAATTAAAAGGGTTGTGGATGATGACTCTCCACACCCAGGATTTGGCGATTGGGTCACCTAAAAACCCCATTCCTCCTTTAAAAGGGGAAGTATGTAAGGTATTTCTCCCACCTTCCTAGCGTGCCTTCGTGGTGCAATAGTCAGCACACTGAGCTAGTATATCAGAGGTCCGCGGTTCGATTCCAGGCGAAGGCGTTGCTAATTTTTCATCTATCTGGCTTTTCTAATTAACCTAATGTCTCTACAATCTGAATTCTGCTTTCCGGAAGCAGTTACATGAGAGCTTGATGTGTAAGAGACATGAGATCTTGATCTGTAAGTGACGCTTATCAATGCATTATTGAATAAGTGAAACAAAGAATGGTTTAAATAAAGCTTCAAACTTCAAACTGCAAAATATGTTTTCGGAAAGTATGTTACTAACTTCATTGATCCCTATTTGTTTATATTTTATTTTGATTTACATTATCCATGTGTAAGAAATTTGCATTATGAAACCCTTTATGCAGTATTACATTTACCTTTGCTATATGATAAACATGCAATACAGTCAACGAGCTAGTAGTAAAAATTACTAATAATCATAAACGGCACAAAAATAGCTCTTAAGTATACTTGAAACAGACGTGACTACGTAATGTAAAAGCTCTAAAAATATTAGAGTTTTCAGAATAGAATAGTTACAATGAAATTTTCACTTTGGCATCTGAGTTGTAAAATACAAACTCATGTCGAAAACCAAGGTTACTATATAGTCCCGCTGTCTAGTACTCAAGTATTATGTTGATTTACTTGAAGGATAAATTGACGCAGACGCTACGTAGTAGCTAACATAGAAAAGACGCACGAGACACTACATCCAGCCATACACAAACATTTAGGTCCCACATTTAGGTTAAGAAAGAAAATGTATAAGTAGGAACATTAGATGAGGGATGATGGGCCAAATTTTTAAGAAGTAGCCCTTCTATACAAACCTACATATAGAAATTTCTAAACGCGTTTGCCTTTATATTATGAAAAGAGTGAACGTACGGATAATGCCTAGTTTGTTGTCTGTTAATATGATCAAATAGGTATATTTTAAAGAAGTTATTGAAAAATTAAAGTGTTTAGCAAAGACTGCTTAAAACATCTTTCTAGATGTTAAACAAATAAAATTTTTGGAAGGACGACATAACCACAAAAAGGCAAATCTTATTTCACTTATACCTTTAGATTATTACATATTTACTCATTAAATAAACGTACATACGTTAAACTAGATGATAATTTGATATATGTGATATAAGTAATCGCTTGTAAGTATGTATGTTACTTGACACAGATAACAGAATGCTTAATTATTCAGTGTTTTATATTATTATAAGTGAAAAAATATTTTACATTATTATAAGTGAAAAAATATTTCACATTATTATAAGTGAAAAATATGTTGTAACTATGTATTATCGTATCTTAAATGCTTAAGTATTTTAAACGAATTGCATTGATTAAAGGATTCTTACGTAGTTAACTTAAAAATATTGTATTGTGCAGGATTATTTTTTATTGTTTAATAAAAAACTGACTGAATATTTAGGAATAAAAGGAGGAGTAGAAGAAGAAAGAAACAAATAATATTTTAAGTCTAAAATACAGAATTTTTGCTAAATTAAGCAAATAAGTAGATAGGTAATTTATACTCAGAAATTGTTGGAGGGTTGACTTGCCTTGCTAATGAAGAGGCGATAAAATGACCGTGTTAAATGGCATAGATTACGCAGCCGTGTCAAGTAACATAAACTGCATAGCGTAAAGTTTGCTAAACGTTTTATTTTAGCCGAACATTATGTTTAAAATATACCAGTTTTAAAATTTTGCACATTTCGAAAAAAAATCTATATATCTGACAAGAACTGTATATTAAGCAAGTATTAAACATGTTATATCTTATATATTTTAATTGTAATACATTTATGATTCAAAGGCTTGTAGTACTAAAAATATTTACAGAAATTATTCAGGGTAAATCTAAAAAATATGTTTTTTTTACGTCACAGAGCACATATCATAAAAGTAATAATTTATAGATTATGATCGTTACACTGAAGTACCTACTATTGAAAAGTGGTGAAAAAAGCTACTACATCAAACGCTGAAATATAAATCCATGCAAAGCAAAGCGAATAGGCAAATGTTGAAACTTAATTTTGTTAATAAAAGGCTATTTATAAATTACTAGCTGCACATTGGAATTAAAATTTAAAATTTATCATGCAACATATTACATTCCATTGATATATACTCATATATCAAATTAAATACAAGCATACGAAAGGAGGGATAAGATTTCTTCTTTATGTAGTTTTCAACATCTGCGCAGTAAATGATTGACACACAAATATTTATTTGTTAGAGATAAATTTATAGGTAAGCATTTATTTATGCCCAAACAACTATCATATTTTTGACATGCTCTATAAAATAAGCAAAATTTATTCATGATAAATTAAATTGTCATTATAAATTCATTTCTTTTCAGCAGTAATATCACGATAAATTTAATAAATTCCCACAGTTAAAGGTAAAATATTATCCCTCCGAAAATGTGGATATCGCACTGATTATGTGGACAATATTGTAAAAACATTGTTTTTCATGCAACTTGGTGCATTTCAATACACTCAGTCTATATCACAATATGTAATAGATGAATCTAAATTTCTACAGAACTTCACTTTTATAAAAACGTTACGCAAACTACGTTGATTCAAGACCTAACATCTGAAAGTAATGTGCACACATGCATATTTTTACATTCATACTTTAGTAAACATTAATCATATTTTAACAAAATTATGATGTACTAAGTGAAATAAATACATATGTTAAAATAAATGCTAACTGATGAGCTGATCAAAGGATAGCAAGAGCTGTCCAAATGAAGCATCATCCTATTTATCGATATAAATACTTTTTTACTCTTTTGTAAATAGATTTAGTGACACCTAAGGCAAGACAGACATCTAAGGTTATTAAAATCATGAAATATCTAAAAAATTGGGCTTATGTGTATAAATGATATACGAACTGTAGACGGAGAAAATATTTGATACTTTAAAAAATTCTCTCCAACTAAGTTCTTGGCAATATGAAAATTCAGAAAGACGACAATTGATTTTATAAACATTTAAGCATCATGGCATATGAAAAGACAGTAACATTACTGTTTGAGTCTTTACAAGCATCACTGTTATTTAACTTAATATTACAGCTAAACACTAACATCAAGATTACAATTAATGACGCAATTTCTAGCTATTTAGCTTAAAGACTAACTAGCTTTAGAAATTAGATTTTCTAGAACCATTCATAAAAAATCCCATTTTCTTTCAAGTTACTTCATGAAATCACGCTTACCTTAATGATCTCTAGAATGTTTTCATTTGCATTTAGTATACAGTTATACAGTACTACAACATTTGAACTGAGAGAAGTTACTGTATCATCGCTCTCTCGTGTAAGTTTGAATATGCTTGTTTCATATCTAGCTTTCTGGAGTAAAAGCACCTTTGTTTTATAATATTCAAGATACTTCTGCCGTAGTTGTCTTGGCTTATAACTAAATTAGCCTATATTTGTTTCTTTTGAGCTATTATTTCAGTGCGTTTAACAGTTTGTTTTCATAACGCTACCAAATTCAACATGCTCCTCGTAACCATTATTTTAAAGAATACTTCCTCTGTTATGTGAAAAAAACCTCTGTTATGTGAGGTTTTTTTTTTATGTAACTGACATCCTTTATCTCATAATATGACATTTACTTAACAATTAGCTCGTTATTCTAATAAGACCATTCTTTCTTAATATGGCGTTTACGTAACTACTATAACTCGTTATTTTATTAACACCATTCTCTTTTAATATGGCGTTTACGTAACTACTGTATCTCGTTATTCCATAAACACCATTCTGTCTTAAAATGGTACCCTTAACTACTATAGCTCGTTATTTTACTAATACCATTTCTCTTATTAAGACGTTTACTTAATTACTGCAGCTCGTTATTTCTTTGATATCATTCTCTGCCTTGATTTGGCGCTTAACGTACTTACTCTATCTCGTTTTTCCATAAACACTATTTCTATTAAAATGATGACATTCATACAGATTAGCATTATTCCTTTGATTATGGTTGCTATAACATTAAGAAATCTTTAAAAGAAAAAGTAAAGAGAAATAATATATAAAATTTCCAATTATAGTTTTTTTTATTACTAAGGAATTGGGATTACTATTGAACTTCACATATATGTACACATGCATTTAAAAAAATACCTTGCATTTTCATTATCAGATACTTTTAAAAAATATGAAGCTTTTTTTATATATTTCCAATTATGAAATTATTGGAGACATTCCAAAATTCTCTAACTCTAGTCGACAATGATAACAACTGTAGACTAATTATTATTAAAAATAAATTTTGATTTCATAATTACGGAATGGGATTTGAAGAATATTATAACTAAGTAAAGCATAAACTCTGAGGTGCTTTGCTACTTTTCTCTTAACATAATGCTTGAAACAGTAGTTTATATATATATATATACCTACAGAGAAATGGATTTCTTTGTAAAGTGTATTTAAAATGTTCCACAAATCATCATATATATCTGTTTGTTTATACCATTAGTATGAAAATTAAAACTGTTTTAGCAAAGAATAGTGTATTAGAAAAATGGACCTTTTTGTTAAGATACTTTAAATTAGTGGCTGTTAAAACTGCGATAATTATTAAATGTACTTATTTTAAAGAACACAATAATGAGGAAATCAAAAGCTTTATCCATAGAACAAAATAATAATTTATTTCGGATTTCTTATCTCCTCCAATTATGTCTTATAAAATAGTAAGACATAACACTTTTTTCTCGCTCTTAAGTTAATGCAAACTGTAGGCCGTAAAAGTGTTCCATCAAATATTAATTTTTAAGCATTAGTTCATATATAGTTCTTTAACAAGTTACAGAGTAAAGGCGAAAGATCCATTTTTCTGATTACAAAGATGCTCAATAATTAATATAAATGCATAAACAGTTCCAGTCTACAGCAGGCACTATTACCGTACTGTGATTGGTTGAGGCATAATAACGTTGCAATGCTAACAGTTCTTTGCTCAGGGAATAATACCAGGTATCACAAAGCTCTTCATAAAGTTCAAACATACTTCACAGTACTTAAAGTCATTTCTCACTAAACTGTTCCTAACTAAAAGATTGTGAGTACCTGGATATACCTATATTTCTCAAATTGTAGTGAAATTCCGAAAATGACATGTTTCGTTATTCCACAAGGAATACATTTATATAAACTGAAAACCAACAATAATGCAGTTCTTCATTTAGTATCAGTTGCTTTAAGCAGAAATCTGCAGAAGTGTCATTGCAGAAACATATACATATTTGAATAATAAAGAGCCTCTGTTTATTTTTAATATTTTATCATATAGAAGAGCAATTTAAGGAAGAGTTAATTAAATTTGAAAATTTATTCTTTCTTCATTACGCATTGAATACTATGTTTTATGAAAATCTCCTTTCAACATTCGAGTAAATGTTTTCTTAAACTGTTGATTGGCCATAGCATAGCAAAATGGGTTGATTGGACTATTGGCATAGCAAAGAAAATAAGTAAAATAGAAGAGATGATGATTCACGCAACCTGTAGCATCTCTGCAGAATCCTGCGACTAATGCGCAAATGTGATACGGTGTCCAGCACACAACAAATGCACCCAAAATGAACGAGATTGTCCTTAGAGCCTTGCGAGCTCTATTTTCAGACTTCGATTTGTGACGTCTATCATTCTTGCGACTTCTTTTCTTCTTTCTACCGGGAACTTTGATTTTTTTGCTCAGGGCATTGACAAGCGTTCGCCTTGTTTTTTCCGCTTTAGCTTCAGATGCATTGGACAAACAGGTGACTTCTTGTTCAGAGACAGACAGAGTTTCACCAACTTTAGCAACTCTTGTGATAGTTTCAGCGCTCTTAGATTCAACAATAACCTCTTTAGCAGAAGTTGTGCTCTGTGCTGTCAATGAAAGACCGGAGAGAGGACAATGTGATGGAGGTGGTTGTTTTCCTACTTCCTCTGTGAATATTTCTTTGCTTGGCGCCTTACGTACCTTATAAGATACAGTTGGAATGCTTTGCTTCGATAATGGCTGAGGATTATCTTCTTTCTCAACTACTATGTTTGTAGGAGTTGAATTTTCTTGATCAATAAATTCAACGTTTGAAATGACGAGAACTGAAGGCTTTTCTGGTATAGCAGTTGTCGGAGTTCTGTCTGTTTTTGGAGAAGATTTATCAGCTTCTGATATGGCTACTATTCCTCCATCACTCACATGATTTTGTTCTGACTCAGGAGAATAATGAAGAAGAGCTTTGGTTCCAGCTGTGGAAGTTGAATTCTCAATTATATTGTGTGGTGGGATGACAAGTTGGATGAATGGCTTCTCTTTCGGACAAGGACTTGAAGGAGGTTCTAGACGTGGTATAGGAATTTGAATTCCTGAAGATGGTGAACGTTTTCTCATTCCGCTTAAGTGATTCTTTCCCTTTTTACGTTTCTTTGAATCTGAAGGTTTTGGTTTAATTTCGTCTTCTTGCTGCAAAATCTCCTCATCATCGGAATCGAATCCTGGGCTACTGGACCGATCTTGCTCGTCAGAATTATTCTCAGGCTTGTTTAAATCAGCTGAACTCTCATTAGTAGCATTGGCGCCTGTTTTGGAAGAACCTGTTGCAACACTAGGGTCGCTGGATGTGGCAGTAGGAAATGGCTGACCGCTGGTTGAAGTGGCCGCTGCTATAGAACCTATGACAGCACCTGCTACACCTCCCATCGCAGAACCGAATGCAAGACCCACTGATAATGCTTTGACATCGTTTTTTGTTTTATCTTGACTTAGAAGGGTACTTTGAGTTTTTGATACAGCCAAGGACGTCTTATTGTCTGCTTGACTCCTCCCCATTGCTACTAACGCTTGAACCTTTCTTTGTTTTTCCATGGACCTCTTCTGCATTTGGCTTGCTGTCCTGGGGAAAAATAGAAAATCACAATTTTAGATATATGGATGAAGCGCAATATTATGAGACTAATTAATATAATTTCTTATTTATATCTATATATCTCTGTATATATATATATATATATGCAGACCATACTACGAATAATTAGAACATCAGAGATCAAAGTTCTTGCAATTCAAGAAAGTATATAATAGCATCTACAGTCATTATCCAATAAAATATGTCTTTGATAAAAAAAATCAGAAAAAGGAATTTCAAAAGTGTAAACCTATATAACTGCATTCAATATATGCATATAAGTTCATAAACAGTTTTATGAACTTATATGCATATACAACATATAAGTTTAAAGTTTAATGAACTGCTTATAGCCCCATTATTTCATTAAAAATATTAAATCATTCTAAATCACTTTTAAATTTTTACGAAGTGACTGCAGTTTTAATTAGACGAACTTCATTTCCTAGCAAAAGAGGAACACTTGCCACTTTATTTGAGGGAAATGTTAGTTGCGAGCTACACGCACAAGCGATCCAGTTAAAAAGTGCGTAGTATAATAATCATCTTGAATAATTAAATCGCTTCTGTAATAAAAAAGAGCAATTATCTTCAAGTAGCTTTAATTTATGACGAATAAAATCAATCACTGAAAATGCTTTAAACAGTTTATCATTCTTAAAAATTGTGAACGGTAAGCTCTCTTTTTTAAGTATTAGAAAATGCATTTTAAAATTTTTAATGTGTATATGTACGAGAAAAGAGAATTACAAACTACTTAAGTTTAACGAAATATTTCAAAAAGGTTTGCACTCTTAATATTTTTACATATTTTTCTATAAAATTAAAAAAGTGTGTGATTTAATAGTTATGGTCTATAAAATTACTGAAAAAATTTGTTTTAAATTCTGAAACTGATTTCTTTGCTTAAATTATTTGCTTACTGCGCAAGAGTTCGGTTTTTAGTTGCAAAGTAAATTCTGCTTACCACAATTTTAACATATTATATACAGGCAAAATAACACGTTATGAATCCTATAACTATCTCCGCAACTCAATTTAGTCCACCAAAACGCAGAGAAAATATTTTTAGTAATAATTTTTATGTACTGTATTTACCTCTTTAGAATAATATAAAAGTTCTATGGCATTATGGAATTTTTAAGTCTTTACTGCAGCCAGGATAAGATCGCATTATTTTATCCTAAAAACGCCTTTTGTAAACAAAGTTTTCATTTGTTTGTTTATTTATTTATTCTTTTCCAGGAAAACGTCTAATTCCTTTCCTATTACTGCCAGCCCAAAACATGTTCCGCGTTCTTTCTCGAAAATCTTTACAGGAGCATTTGTTTTCTTGTGTAACTACGCATTGCTTTATTTGTATGATACTGTAACTTTGTGGCGAATTGTACTCAATCCTTAAGCTAATAATTTACATTAATTTCCCTCAATCGTACTAATTTATCTTCAGGAGTAAAACTAATTCTTTGCTCTAATACAACTACAATAGCGACTCAAGCGAAGCTATTACTAAGATGGAATATGGTTTCTAATTAATTAAGATTTTATAGCAAAAGCAGAATACTAAGAAAGATGCTTTCATGATATAAGGTTATCCTATTCAAATTTTAATTTTTACGAAAACTTATACATCTACGCAGAACGTTCAAGAAATTTCTGCACTTGTGGCATAGATGTCTAAAGGTAATATAATGTATGTGACCATATAGACATCGATCTGTCAAAAAAAGTAAATCTTTAAAATGAATGCAAGGAAAGCTGTTCATACTTCATGAATTTAAATTAGTATTCTCTGCTAAGCTTGCTCAAGAATATCTATACCGTTCAAGGGCTATGTAAATGGGCTCCTATAACATGGTTCCATCACTTATCGGTAAGGAGTTCTAATCATTTGGACAAACCCATTCAGGACCTTGATTTACGAAAATGAAATCCTGCCTGCATGATAGATGACAATTAGCCGTAGATAATAATTTTGTATAAATTTGATTGAATACAGAAATATTTTTGAGTACCGATTGGAGAGTCTAACATTTGAAAACTGGAAATGCAGCGAATTACTCCCTAGTGATAACATAGTCATTAGTAGTGTATTTTTCATATTTTGAGAGATGGAGTACATAAAAATTATTGATATAAACTAGATTAATCTGAAAATTTAAGTCTAATCCCTGTTACTTGTAACATTACCTTTAACGTGTCTATAGAAATTACTGCTGGTATCATCCAACTACAAATAGAACTTTCAAACAATATCCTACTAGAAGGTAATTATCGGAGGACTTTGTGCCCCTTTCAACCATCATCCACTTGAGGACATTTAGATCCACAAAATTAGATAGCTCCTGCCCAGGATATATACATAATGAAAAACAACCTATACTCACTCAGCATTTTCAGGTAATACAAACACAATTTCATTAAACTATGCAGTTTTAATGAAATTGACAACATTGTTAAATAAAGTTTTAAAAAAATCACTAAAATGAGGGAAAGACTCAAGGAATATGTTTTTAACATAAAATTTGCTTTTTTTGCTGTTTGTTGCTGAAAGTACCGTTTCATCACACGAAAGATATAAAATAAATTTCGATAATTCTGATACTTATTGTACAGTACCTCTGCCCTCCCAAAACTTCAAATCCGTTGAATAGAAATTAAAGCCACATTATAATCAAATACGAATTTTCAGAAATAATTTACATAAATTAATTACAGTACACATGTATCATAAATCGGAAATGTGCTTCAAACAGAAAAGTGTTTTACGGAACACCATTACATTCTTATTTAAGCAGTATCTATCACAGTGCAGTTACTGCAATTACTGTTGTTGTCATTAAATACTGAGGTAGATATTGCAGCATTTTGAATTCTATAAGACAGTACTGATGCAAAGACAAACGGACAGATGATTCATCTTTTAAGAAGATAATTTGAATAACATTACTGTATGAATCAACTACAGTACATTTTAGATGTCTTTCCTCCCCCTTAAAGCACAGCTAACTTCTCTAGCTTGTAAGAGTACGTACTATAGTACACACAATATTAAAATATAGTATGCTAGACTATTGTTTATGTTATATTTAAAGCTGTTCGTCTTAAAAACTTGTATATATTATGAACAAGTTATTTAATAGTATAAAGGTTTTTGGTAGTCAGGATTGTACGCATATTTGTAAGTGCTCTGGATGTTGGTGCCCCTAACTCGCTTATACAAGTAGTTAAAGAATAAACTGGGTAGGCCTTTGGCTTGAAAATTCGCAAGCACGTTTAAGGTATCCACTGAGAATGAATTAACAAGCATTCTGAAATACAGCTGGTGTTTTCTTAAATTTTGAAATTTATTCTCAAATTATTATGGAAAAATGATAATCAGTGCTGGTAAATTAGTTCTTTTGATATAATGGCAATCAATCAAATGAGGTACAGAATTTTATAAAAAGCATGTAAGTACTGAGTGATAAAAGATTTCACTAAATGTAAAATTGTACCTTTTATATGGTACCATCATATGAAAACCTCCAATTTGTGTAGTTAAATACAAAAATCTTCCATGTTTTTAGGTACAAAATTTGGGATTCAAGAATGAATTTATTAACTTAGATCACTAAATTCATTGACTTAGATATATCTTGCTACGCAGTTTCGATTAGTTCTTGGACCAGATTTAAAGGGAGACTATAAAACAAAACTCGCTGATTTTGGTGATGAATGCTTTGTATTGTGTAAAACAACACTCGCATTGAGCTGACACCATAAAAACAAATAATTGGTAACACATCTGCAAATATTGTTTGTATAGGTGTTAAACGTTTTGTATTCTACGTTTTAAAACATAATAAAGTTTTTACTAATAAGGATATTGCACACGCATGATACGAAAAATTGCATCTTATCTCTATAGGCCTTATCCGTTCCTGGTATTGAAAATATTCTCATAAAATTCTCCACTTTGAATCTCTAGCCTATTTGGAAGAGCGTGTCTAAACTCAGTATATAATGAGATACAGGTTGTCCCAACTGTTTAACATTCTGTATGTGTAACTGCTCATCTATGTAAAATGTAAAGGGTAAAGGGAATCAAAAGCAATAAATATATCCAACTGCGATTCTGTTTCCTATAATCTGAAAATCTATTCTGAGGTCTTCTGCTAAAATGAAAATAGATGTCACGTGCTTTTACGTGTTTACATTGCATTTTAGCAGCTTACAATTCGTCCAGACGAATTTCAAAGGAAATTAGGTAGTTGCTCTTAACAAGCAATTGTCGCGATTTCTGTATAATTTAGAAAGTTGTCCTTCGTCAAATTACCATTTATCAGATGCGTTTGACTACAAAAAAAGCGTTCAAAGACCATGCAAGGTAGTCATATTCACTAAAAATCATTTAAAAAATTCTCATTTTCAAACTCAACATCATATGTGCTCACTCTTTTGTTCATATTCTGATTACATTATGATGCAGGTAGTAACAGAGGGTTCGCGGCCTGGACACAGCTGTTTCAGACAATCTAAAAATTCTGAAGGATTGGCAACCAGAACAAAAAAACAAATTCCTATTTTCGGCTGAGGGTAAGAAAGTAAAACCTTTTTGTCCTATGGAAATTTTCCACAACTGAAAATATAAAGCGAATAAAAACGAAATTCCTAAATATTTTTTAAGGTTTTATGGTACTGTACTCATAAAAGCAAATATCAGCTAAAGTCCTGTAGAGAAATTTCCGAGACGAAATTGTGCTCTAGGGATTCATGAAAAAGAGCTGCTAAGCTGCTAGGATTCATTAGCTTAACTACACTGTGTGCAAAAATTAAGGACGAGACGGTTTTTTCAATATAACTTTGTACAAAAGCTTTCCAAATCAACACATTTAATACCGTAAGATCCCCAATACGTAAGGACCTGAGTAATGTAAGCAACACTTACTAAAAGAGAAATCAGAGGGATAAAAGGAAGCTTTATTGAAAAAGTAGCATGGAGCGCA